GGGGGGGGGGGGGGGGCTTCTTCAGACTTCTGGAGGCAGGACAGCTATAGGGAGGCCATGGGAACATTGCCAGGTACTGGTACAGCAACTGGAGGCGGAGAGGGAAGGAAAGGCAAGCCAACATCTTAAAGAAACAAACCACATTCTTTAGAGGACAAGAAGAGATGAGCTCATGAAAGAACGAACTGGCAGCTTTAAGGTAGAGAGTCCCTCTTCTACTACAGCATGTCCATCAAGCTCCACATTTTGCTCCTTCAAGGAGGTAACCAATGACTCAGTGTTGCTGGTCATGAAAGTATATCCCATGATTCATAGCATCCTTAGACCTAGTCTCAAGAGACCCTGGCATGTTCCCTCCTGCCACACACGGGCCTAAGGAAGACCACCTTGTTGCCCAAGGCATTGCCACCGGGGCCAGTGTGTGGCCAGGCAAGGGATCAGTTAACCGGAAGCACCCATTTGGGTCAGTCCTGATGAGCAGACTGGCTGGGTCAACAACCCCAGAACCGGAGTTACAGCCCAGTTCTCGGGTTCTGTAGCTGAGGAAGCAGAAGTCCAGAGATGTAGAGTGACTTGTCTGAAGTGACACAGTGATCGGAATCAGCAAGGCCTCCTGACCCGGGACCTGGTGCTTCTGTCCCTGTAGTAATTCAGTTAGTTATCAGGATGGAGAGCGGTGCCCTAAATGAAGCCCGAGAGAACTTGTCTTCAGAAAGACAGCCTCATGGGAACCAAACAAGAAATTAGCTTTAGACCAGACTGAAGACAGGCCTGCTCCTTTAGGACACTTTTTTGGGTAAACTTTTCCCATTTCCTTTAGGCCCCTGGAGGCTTTGCTTCACCTCCATTTGTAATAACTGTGTTGTTCCATATTGATGGGGTGTGAATAAGTGAGAGCCTAAAAGATGACTGAGGAAAACCTGAGTTTTTCTGTAACGTGGACATCTCTTCCAGGTACTGTCTGCGGCATATGCTTTCTGATATCAGAGGGCGGGGACGAGTCAATCCACAGATATTTCCAGAATTAAAGGTCTGAACCTGGGAAAGCACTGGTGGCTCCTGAAGAGTTTCTTCCAGAAGATCCTTTGGCCCCACCTTCCCTTCATTAGATTCTCTGCCCCTGGCTTCCTCTATTTTCCACCGCCCCTTTCCTGGGTATAATCATGCTCAGTATGTCTTCCTCCCTCACACTACACTCCAAGCTCCTTGAAGTCAGAGATGATATTTTATTTACTTTTAATATTCTTCTAGAAAGCCCATAGATCCTTTGCCTAGCTCCCCTGCTCCCTCTCTCCCACTGGCCATCAGCCTGCTCATTCTGAGCACTTAAATGTGCCAGGTACTATCGAGTCACATTCTGAGGCACTGGGGGTTAGGACTTAGGAATATGAATTTGGTGCCTGGCCAGCTCAGTGGTTGAGTGTTGGCCTATGAACCAAGAGGTCATAGTTTGATTCCCGATCAGAGCATATGTCTGGGTTACGGGCTCAGTCCCCAGTGTGGGGCCTACAGGAGGCAAGCCAATCATTCTCTCTCATCATTGATGTTTCTGTCTCTCCCTCTCCCTTCCTCTCTGAAATCAATAAAAATATATTTTAAAATAATAATAATGATTTACCGAGTGCATGCTGTGTGCTACACATTGTACTATTTAACACACACACACTCATTTAATCCTCACAACAAAGAGGTGACTACTGGCTTTATCCCCGTCTTCCATAGTGTTGCTTGCCTTGTCACACGCTAGTTAAAGGAAAACCTGGGATTTGAACCTGGTGTTTTTGAACTTTTTTTGATTCCTTAACCCAGGGTCAGCAAACTACAGCTTGCCACCAGAGTTTCCAATGAAACAAAATACGATTTTATTGGAACACAAACATGCTCATCCCTTTACATGTCACACACAGTGTTTTACTCTACAATGGCAGAGCCCAGATGGCCACAACGCCTAAAATACGAACTCTTGTGGCCTTTTACAGAAAAAAGTTTGCCAACCCATCTTAGCCTAAGCTGGGCTCAACGGATACTCACTGAAGGAATGAATAACTTGAGCACTCCATTAATTCATGCATATATTTGCTCCCTCTGTTAGCATTGTTTTGAGCACCTGCTCAAACATGTGTCAGGCAGTTTGCTTCCTTGGAAGGCAGGGCCCCTTTTGTACTCAGTTTCCTCTATTACTTGATCTTCCCAAGGCATCCATACACCTGCAGTCCCTGCTAAAAGCTAAATTTGGTGCCTAATCCCCATTTTCTCTGCCTTGTCTCCAGCTCAGACAAGAAAATCTATTTATTACTTTAAAAAATGACAAAAGAGATTAATCAGGATTTGGCCACTAAATTTATCATCTGGGAAGAGTCCAAGAGATAAACTGAAGCGTAGTTCTTCACTCCCTACTTCATCTCCTCCTCTCAGCCCGGCTTTATGGGAATGGCTGAGACGGTGGTGAAATTTAGGAGCAATATTGCTAGGAAAAAACACACTGACAGCTAAATTAGTTTGGCAGGAAAGTGGTGTGGAGGGCTCTAAGCCAGGAATGAATTATGGGTATTGAGTAAGGCTGGGGCAGGTACCTGCTGTTTTAAGAGCAGCAGGGATGTGAATGAGGAGAAAGATGTTGCTAATTCTAAGGCCACCACTGAACGCCTTGGGGAGGGGGAGGCAGTCGGCCTGTGACTAACTCTGCTGACACGCTTGGAAACTGCATTCTAGGAAAGGAACGCTGGTGAGATGGAGAGAGGGGAGAACAGCGGAGGATGGTCAGCACAAATGCATGCAGATGGGAGGAGTTCACACACTTGTCAGTGTCCTTGAAGTCTGCTGACTTACTGGGAGGCCTGGCCACGGTCCCCTACTACGCTGACCCGGACATGGGCAACCACCTAAGATACCTTTCTCTCTGGGTCCTCAGGTTAGCCACTTACGTGTTAGGGCTGTCGCTGGCAGGGAAAGGGGACAGAAGAGGTGAGGGGATTATCAGAAAAGAAGTGTCTTTCACATAAAAAAGGAGGAAAGTCAGAGCTAGCTGTACTTGTGCCCCATAAGCAGAGCCCTTGGGGTCCATGGACCATGTAGCCGAACTGGCAGTAAACAGGTATCAAGCATTTGCACAGTGTAAGCCTCTTGGGGGGTATTAAGAAGTGCAAGACCTTGTACAGTGGTTACTCCTTCCAGCAATTCTATGTGGTAGCTCTCGCTAGCCTCATTTTATACATGAGGAATCTGAAGGTCAAGGAGGTTAAGTATCTTATGTCCAAGGCCACGTATGGATGGAACTGGAGAGCATTATGCTAAGCGAAATAAGCCAGTCAGAGAAGGATAAATAACACATGATCTCACTCATTTATGGAATATAATGAACAACATAAACTGATGAGCAAAAACAGATCCAGAGATAGAGAAGCATTGATCAGATAGTCAAACCTCAGAGGGAAGGTAGGGGAGGGTAGGGGTAAGGGGGAGAGATCAACCAAAGGACTTGTGAAAAAAAAAAGTGACAAATAGGACCTGAGCTCTGGGGTCTATGCTGCTTCTTGGGTAGCTGGGTCTGTATGTTAATATTATGCGGTGACATTTGATTTAGAAAAGTGAGCTCCTCCTAAGGGCAAAGTTCATCATATATTTTTGTCCTTTTTTTTTTTTAAATATATTTTTTTATTGATTTTTTTACAGAGAGGAAGGGAGAGAGATAGAGAGTTAGAAACATCGATGAGAGAGAAACATCGATCAGCTGCCTCCTGCACATCTCCCACTGGGGATGTGCCCGCAACCCAGGTACATGCCCTTGACCGGAATCGAACCGGGGACCCTTCAGTCCGCAGGCCGACGCTCTATCCACTGAGCCAAACAGGTTTCGGCTATTTTTGTCCTTTAATCAAATCCGAAAGCCATGTGCCTGTGATGCTCTCACTGGGTTATATCAGACCAGTCCCTCATCCCACTGTCGGCCAGTGAGGTCAGACCAGGCACAGCTGACGTGTGCTGTCAGGAGGCCGGGCTAGGCTCTGAGCAAAGATGTGTTGAATTTGCTCTGACATGTGGACAGGAGCGCAGACTTCTGGATCTGCCCTGGTATCATCACCTCTTTCAACAGAAAGAGAGAGGGAGAGAGAGAGGAGGGGGGGGGGAGGGGAGGATGTGCTCAGACCTAAGGCAAACACCAGAGATCATGAGCAAGACAGGTTAATGCTTTGCCAAAACTCCTCTCTGTTTAAGCTGTTAAACATAGTAGTTCTACCCTCCCTGTCCTACCTAAAGCTACAGGACTGCTTATTAATATGGATGAGCTTGGTTTTTAGAAGCAAAGTGGGAGCCGCATCCACTTCCGTGTGGATGAGCAGAGCGTGTAGCTCCTGTGTCCAGGAAGGAACATGAGGTTCGACTCCACCTACACACCCCCCGCCCGCCGTGTGTCAAAGTGGGTGGGTGTACACGCTCCTGCACCCAGAGCAGCCCGCTGTCCTGATCCTCTGACCTGATCAGAAGACCCCTCTCCCTCTGCAGCCAAGCCCCCTACCCTCCCACCCCACGTCTTTGCTTCCTGTGTACTACTTGTTCCTGTCTCTTGCTCTCTTCTCTCCCCATTTCCTCATTGTCCTTTTCAGATAAACTTCTGCTCCTTTTACTGGATGTAAAGGTAGTGGCATGCTCTCCAGAGTATGAAGAGAACATAATTCCATATTCTTTCTCCCTTCTTCCCTCCTCTTTGTTTTGGATTATCTCAAGCAGTTCAGGATCCAGAAGTAAACCACAAAGCCTTTAAGGATGGACAGTCTATACGACTGGCAAAGGCCTCCTCCCCGGCTTTGCTTCTCTCAGGTGTGGGCGGAGCTGTTTCCTCCCCAGCTCTGAGATTCCCTGGCACAGCCTTTTCGCCTGGGCCCCTCCCTCTACAAGGAAACAGCAAGGTGTTGTTCATGTCAACATGAGATCTTTCTAGTACAAAAGTTAAGGATCCCTGTTACACAGAGTTCCTAAGTCTCCGAGGCAACACTTTTAGAATGAATTTGGCTCTGAGATACAGAACCCAGGGGAAGCTTTGAAGCTCCTACTCGCTGACCCTCTCACAGGATGGCTGTGGGCACAGGGGTTCTTCCTCGTTCTCGAGAGGTGCTGAATGAGAGCGAATCCAACCCCTGCAGCCGTTCGCTCTCTAAAGAGTTTATGGGGACCCGATCCATCAGCATACTGGCGCTGACCCACTTCGATTTAAAATCCTCAGTTATTTCCCAACAGGTTCTTTAGTGTCATGCCTTGGAGTCTATTTCAATCTCCCCAAAGAGGAGCAACGCAGCTCTCTCCAAAACGTCCATGGTGGCCGCATCACAGATAAGAGAAAAGTATGCGTTTGATTCATTCGTTCCTCCAGAGCCCCCTGAGGAAGTCCAGTTCAGGATGATGTGTTCACACTTTCCGAAGAAGGACGCTCCCTCTGTTCCAATTTACTGAGGGGGTGAGCAAGGAGAGCAGGCGGGGATGGATGAAACCCAGAAGTAAGGTGCTAGTTAAGAAGAATGCCTTGCCTATGAGAGTTAGGAGCTTCCAGCACAGAGGATCTGAGAGGTGACAGTCTCTCCTTCCTGCCCTCTCCAACAGGTCTTAGTGGTGGAGGGAGGTATGTTTCATCTCACCTGGTTATTTCTTCCTTCAGGGCAGCGGGGTCTGCAGGGTAGAACTTCACCCGGAAACACATGGTGAACGGAGGCTGGGCTGCAGAGAAAAACAGGTGCCCATCAGGGAAGGCACGCTGGTCCAGAGAAGACTGAGCTCCCCTCCCCACCAGGATGCCCGGGCCTCTGAACCCTCAGAAGAAATCCTCAGGTGTTTAGGGCCACTTCTGCGCAGAACAGCGGAAAATCACCAAGGCTCACGACAAGTGGGAGGTTCCACCCCCCTCCCCAGGGGTAGGGCTCGAGTCTTTTCTCGGGGAATACTTACATCTCAACTGCTTCACCACAGATTTCGTAAACTCCAACCAATGCTGAGAGCGAGAACACAGAAGAAGAAAACCCTAATGAGAAGCAGTGTCAAATATAACTTGTTTAACCCAATTTAAATCACCAGACAGATTGTAGCCCAGGGTGAAAGCAGCCCAAAAGCTTGTGATATGTAGGCTTGGAGAGTAAAGAGTGGTATGATTTTCTGAAAAGTTCCCCAGGGAACCAGCTGTGAAGAGGACGGAGTTCCAGCTTCAGATGCCATTGCTGGGGCTTGTCTGGCAAGGCCACCTCCTAGACCAGGGTGCCAAGGTTCTGATCCATGTTTCTGCCACATCAGTAGGCACAAGTGCATGTACGTGTGTGTGATGGGGACCGAGCCCCATCTGGCTTGAGTGGGGAAACACTGGGCTGTATGTATTTGTGCTACATGCCAATGTTTTTTTGACAGGGGGCTCGAGAAAGTACTGACAGAATTTCATAAATGGTGAGAAGGTAGGGATGGCTGGTGTGTCTTCCATCTTTGTCTGAGTAACACAGATTGCCCAGCCCTGTGTGAGGGATGCGTGCTCAGAATTCCTTGGCGAAGTCTGTCTCATAAGATAACTAACCACACTGAAGTATAGGATCGTATCCTGCATCCCCTGGAATTTCATGGAGGCGGGACATAGTAGCAATGCCTTTTTCCCCATGGAACTTATGTTTGGGGAAGGAAGCAATGAGACCATTCTACTAGTATATGTTTCCCAGTCCTACAGGGATGCTTTATAAATGCATTCTCGATGTTTGTTGCTGTTACGCTAATCAGGAACCTTGACAATCTGCAGAGAGCTAGAACTACTGTTATTTGGGCTTGGTTATCTGGAAGCAGCTTAAAATCATTAGTCATGAGCCCTGTGAGGGCAGAAAACTGTCTTGTTTACACTGGATTGCCTGTGCCCAGCACAGTGTTCAGGATGCAGCTGTCAAAGGTTGGAAGAACCAGGTCCATACTGCCCTCCTTTCTGGCCACTTCCATTTAACGTTACATCTTGGCAGAGTCTTCCCTTTGCAGCAAAGAGGCCAGGGCCACACAGACGGCATCCTGGCCTCCCTCGATTCCCAGCGCTCACCTTCTGGGCTGGGCACGGGTTATGCAGTTAATGGACTCACTAAGAGCCAGTTCTCTCGTCAGCTCCATATGGATAATCTGGGTTGACATTCTGCTCTCTTGCTTCCTCTGATCTGAGTGCCCACGAGGCTGGCAACTCATTATAGCCACTCAATGTGGTTAAGAGGTCCTCTCACATTACACGGCCCATGGCGGCTCGGCTTCACCGCAAGGCGAAGGCAAGAGATGAAATTGCATGGAAACAACGGGGCTCCCAGGCTGTGCCGGTGCAGGTGCAGGAGGCCTATCTGGAACTTTGTGCAGGGAGAAGAGCTCGCAAGTGTCTGGGACTCAGTCAACAGAACGCCCCTAGGCAGTCCCCTGACAGATGAAAGTCAATCAACAAAGAAACTTGGAAACAAAGAGGAATGACTTGTAAGATCCATTATAAGAAGAAGGCAGGTGGAGCTGAAGGACAAAAAGGCTATTCCCCTGGGCGGGAAGCTGGCGAGAGGACTTCAGGGGTGAGAGCTGAAGGAAGGAGGGAGGCTGGAGATCAGAAGTGGAGTGGGGAGTGGAAAGGGATCACAGCTTGCCCAAGAGATTTTAAGGGTCTGGTAGAAAAATCTTGAAAGGATCCCAAGAATATGGTGATGGCCAGAGTTACCTTTTGCATCTGTCTGGGTCCCAGAATCACTAGCAAACTGTTAACATGGGTTTGGGGGAGGGGGGTCAGGAGACGAGGAGAAGACTCCGAGAGAGGCCTGTGCTCCTGTCTTTGGGTGAATGGGCAAATGTCAGACTCCAGAGGCTTGAAAGGGCCCCTCCACCTTGAAAGGAGAGGCTGAGAGCAGGCCTCCTAGCCAGGAACAGGAAGAGGGTGACTGAGGGCAGCTCCTCCCCACGGAGACCCCGGCAGAGCAGCAGGGAGGAGATGGATGGAGCGCTGGGTGCAGCCCGCCTGGTGCCCCAGGGGAGGAGGTGTGTTTTACAGCCTCACTCTAGGGAGCTGGGATCTTACCAGCTCTATCCACGAGTCAGTAGATCTAGGACAGTGGTCGGCAAACTGATTAGTCAATAGAGCCAAATATCAACAGTACTTCTTCAAAATATTCTTTTGAGAGCCATATTTTTTAAACTTAAACTATATAGGTAGGTACATTGTTATTAACTTAATTATGGTACCC